AATTAGCCCTAAAGCGCGCCGACAGAAGCACACTGTAACGTAACCCTAAACCTAACCCTAAACCTAACCCTAAACCTAACCCTAAACCTAACTGTAAATCTTACCTTAAATTAAATTGCGCTTCTGTCGGCGCGCTGTTGTCGGCGCGCTTTTGACATCGCGGTTTTAGCGCCGCGGTGTTGTCGGCGCGCTTATGACGTTCGCGCTTTTGTCGGGTCACGGCATGTGCCAGCACCCCTAATGCAAAGCACGCCCCCCACATGCGCATGCACGCACAGCCCCCACATGCTCCCCACACATATGCACCACACTGCTCGACTCCAAGCTGAGCTTGGTATTTCCTCCTGGGGGCCAGAGGAAGGTGAAAATGGCCTCCCCCTGGCCCTCCTGAAGGCCAAAAATCAACTGGCTGGCGCGCACATACGCGCTTGATCTGACGGCTCACTTCCGGGCAGATATGGCTCCACGTGCCACCTATGTGTGCCATAGGTTCTCCATCACGGTCCTATACAATTTGAGAGAGGTGACTGCCCAGTCTTTTCTTTAAAAAAAACCCAGTGATGAAGCACCTACAACTTCTGAAGGGAAGCTGTTCCACTGGTTAACTGTTCTCACTATTAGGAAGTTTCTCCTTAATTCAAAGTTTCTTCTCTCTTTGATTAGTTTCCTCCATTGTTTCTTGTCTTGCCTTCTGATGCTTTGGAAAATAAGTTGACCCCTTCTTCTTTGTGGCAGCCCCTCAAATATTGGGAAAAAATGCTTCTGCGGATTAAGAGAGAGCCTCTGTGTATGTGCTTGGTGTTTTGTACCCAAGCGCAGAGAATTCAACAGTTTAGCTTTGAGCAACTGTATTCTGGAGGGTTAAAACCACATCTGGACGCTGAATGTCTCTGAGCTGTCTAGGCAACAAAATAAATCTAGCAAACAAATGGAGGCTGCACCCTTCCCCCTACCTCATTTAGCTATGACCAGGGTCAAACCTAATTCATCTCTGCCTAATCCCATCAGGGTCAAATTGAGCCCCCTGCTCCAGACACCCCCCCCCTGCAATTCATTAAAACTGAAGAATAGAAGGCTCTTCACCAGCTCACAGTGCAGCCCAAAGGTAGCCTTACAAAGGAATTGCATTGTAGAGCAGTGTTTATCAGCCTCAATGCTTTTAAGATGTGTGAACTCCAACTTTCAGAATTCTAGGAGTTGAAGTCCACATACTGTCTCTTCAACTTGCAAAGGTTGAAAACACTCCACTTGAAGAAGAAACCCCAACCACCCATCCTGTATCAGCTGACAAGTTCCACCTTTCAGCTCCTTCACAGTGGACTTCCCCGATTTTTCTGCTCTCTCGAAAGGACCATTTTGCCTAACTCCAGCTGCATCGACTTGTCTGACTTCCCCAAACTGACCAACGAATCTGATTACTATAATTTTCCACCTTCTAGCCTACAAAAAAAAACCTTTGCTTTTCCATTGTTCAGGACCCCTCTTTCTTGTAAAGCAGGCAGCCAATTATAAACATAAACTGTTGTAAACATATTGCAATAAACATAGTTCTTTTCAATGTTGTGCTTCAGATTGAATCCTCAAATAAATGTCCATTTGAACATTTATTTGCTGTATAAGACCCTGAAAGTGCGGAGGGTATCTGTTAATAAATTCAACCCCTTCCCTACTGACATACAGTATGCTGTATGCTGAGCCGCAGACACCCTTATTAAGCCACTGGTGAAGGCGACTTACAGATGTACCTCAATGGGGTCTTTGAAAATGGAAAAGAATGAAGTAGAAACAGATAAATTTGGGAGGAAAGGATCATGGTTTTCTTTATATTAACATATAATGATTGTCTGAGCCTGTTTGTAGTGGTTAAGGCATCAGGCTGGAATCCAGGAGAGCCTGACTTCTGGCCCCACCTTGGCCACAAGGCTGGCTGGGTCACCTTGGACCTAGACCACTCTCTCTTAGACTACAAAACAGGAAATGACAAACCACTTCTGAACTCCTACCAAGAAAACCGCAGAGACTAAGAAAACTACACACAAACACACAAAAACATAACCAGCCTTATTTTAAATCTGTTAGCCTTACATGTCCCAAATCAGCCATAATATTGGTTCGTATATGGTGCTAAGTCACAAGGATTGGGTTCAAGTGCAATACTTCCAGATCCAATGAAGTGGATAGGATGTTCTATGGTATGAAGTGTCCCGCTTGGGCTTCTGAGGCAGCAAGAGGTGCTTTTTTGAAGGAGGCTCATTGCTTCTCCTCCTTATATCAAGAGGTGACAATTCTTCCTCTTTTGAAGTGGCCATATCTGTATCCAGCCATGATGTACATTTACCACATCATCTCCAAGCTTCCCTTTTCTAGAGAAGAGTTTTGAGAAGATCGTGATAATGATAATGAATTACAGAAAATCCTAAATGTAGTAATTACCTAGATCCTTTTTAGTCAGAATTCAGGCCTGAAAATGGCAATAGAAACAGCCATTGGGCCCTGTTAGTTTATCTCTGTAGAACTTGGATGTGGGAAACATGCTCTTCCTTATCCTAGTGAGCCCATCACCAGCATAGCTTCATTCTAGACTACTTGCAAAGGTCAAGAGTCAGATATATAATTTTGCCTGAATACAGGGCCTATGGTGGCAAGGAGCACTTGAACCCATACAGTAATTGTCCCAAGGTGGAGGGCTGCCGAGGGATTGGCCCTTTCTCCTGTGTTATTCAGTATCTGTAAGAAATCATTGGGGGAATCATCTGTCAGTTTGAGGCATCATTGATATGCTGATCATACACAATTAGTATCAGAGGTG